AAAAAAATTAGCTATGCTACATGCTAAATTTAACCTTACCCAATATGAATTACGATTTTCAATAGTTTACAGCTGTTAATTACATGTTCAACCTCATCTAGAAAAGCGTGTTGATTTACTATGTGAAAAAAGTTTTAAGAAGGAAAAAATACCTTTTGCTGACTTTGTGCTTTTTCCATTGTGGATCGTGTGCCTAACACGTGGAAACTTGGAGAATACTGCACCTGCTTCTGTACGACTGATTAAGAAAATAGCGCCCCCTTCTTTTCCGGAGTGCAATAGTACCACTTCCAAATAAGGGTATGGACTGACAGTGGTCCGTCCCCGCCCCTTTCTGCGGGCTGCAGCGAGGACCCTCTCATCCAAAGCGCACTCCACCAGTGGCGGCGCCAGGGGTACGCTAGGGGGCGCTATAGCTACCCCTAGAAAAGTTATAGCACCTCCATAGCACCCCCAGGAAATATTTAGATTTTTTTCTTCATCTAATTTAATATTTTAAATATGTAGTTGTGGCATTTTCTTCTAAAGACAAATATATATAAAAAGAATCAACCATTCTAATTTCAGTAAAAAATAAAAATAAAAAAAATAATTCAACCTGATTTGAACTTTGCGTATTATTACTTCCGGGAAGCAATTGAGAGGAACACGCTGCGCAAATATGGATCGTTTTTTGCAACCAAAAGTTCCACGGATGGAATTTGAGAAGGATGCATTTTTGGAAGCAGAGTCCGACCAACAAAGAAATATTAATCTGGATGAAGAAGATAAACTGTGCAGTTATCCTTCCACTGCTGCTGAGAATGCTAACAGTGTTAGCACTGGACAGCTAGAAGATCTAAGCAGAAGTCCTCAAGATGGACCAAGACGACCACTTCTGCAAAAATACCCATCACGCTTGTTTGGAGTGCAACAGAGAAGTTTTAGTAAAGGCTGGCTTGATCAATATTTGTGGTTAGAATACAGCGTGAGTAAAGATGCCGTGTTTTGTTTTGCTTGTCGGCATTTTCTAAAAGGAGGACACAGGTTCCATCTTGAGCCAGCATTTACCGCGCTCGGCTTTAACAACTGGCGGAAAGCAGCAGCGTCATTGAAGAGCCATCATGAAAGCGCCGGACACAAATTTGCAATGGAAGCGTGGAGTGAATTCAAGTTTAAACAAACGAGTGGATCAAAACTCCCCAACATGCTCGACAAAGGACATTCTGCATTGGTTCAGGAGAACCGGAGGTACATGATGGGTGTTGTAGAAAGTTTGCGCTACACAGCTTGTCAGGGAATCGCACAGCGCAGTCACAGTGAGAAACAGGATTCAGCTAACAAAGGTAATTTTCGTGAGATGCTTGATGTGATTGGAAAATTTGATCCCAATGTCCAAAAAAAGCTGACAATTAATCCATCTAATGCTAAGTATGTTCATCATGACATACAGAACGAAATATTTAATGTTATGGCTGAAATGATAAGAAAACAAATCAGCAATGAAGTGAAAGAAGCTCAACACTTTGCTATTTTGGTGGATGAAAGTAAAGATATCAGCAAAAAAGAACAAATATCTGTTATTGTTCGTTATTTGCAGCCAGATTCAGAGAAGGTGGTGGAAGAATTTTTGCATTTCACCCCAGCAGAAGGATTAGATGCAGACTCACTTTTTGACTGTATCAAAATGACCCTCAGTCGTTGTAATATTGATATAAATTGCTGTGTCGGACAGTGCTATGACGGTGCTGCTGTTATGTCCGGGTGCAACAATGGAGTTCAAGAAAAGTTGAGAAAAGAGGTGCCGCAAGCTGTGTACATTCACTGCCATGCTCACAGGCTGAATCTTGTGTTAGTAGACTGTGTACATAATGTTGATGCTGCAGCCGATTTTTTTGAGATATTGCAAATGCTTTACAAGTTTTTTTCTGGGTCTGTTGTTCATGATCTTTTTTTGAAGAAGCAGGAAGAACTTGTGTCAGCTGTACAGCGCCTAGAACTTAAAAGACTCAGTGACACCCGCTGGGCGTGCCAGTATGATTCCATATGTGCTGTCAAAAAAACTCTCCCAGCTGTTATAGCTACGCTGCACGATGTTGTTGACCAGAAAAATGCTAAAAGGAGGACGGAGGCTAAAGCTCTCAGTGCACTTATAGATAAGAAGTTTGTTCTGCATCTTGTAATTTTTGAGGATATTTTCAGAACAACAAAATTCATGTCTGATCAGCTACAGTCTCCTAATTTAGATCTAGTAGCAGCAAATGACCTGGCTCATTCTGTAATAACTGCTTTAACAGAAAAACGCACAGATGACAAATGGGAGACACTCAGAAAAGAAGCAGAAGAACTTTGCAGCAACACAGGAATAGCAACAGAGACTGTACATCGGCAGAAAAGACAGACTCAAACAGCTAAACATCTAGAGCACTTTATTGTGGATGCCTCAATAGAAAGAAAAGGTGCAGACAGCACGGATGACCTAAAAACAAAATCATTCTATTCTGTTATAGACAGGATGCTAATGGAAATGAAACAGCGTTTTTCTTCAGAAACTAATGAAGTACTGAAAGGTTTGCCAGCTCTAAACCCCAAACACCCATCATTCCTTGACAAAAAATGGATACTGCCTATGGCCTGTCTTCATGGAGTTAACGAGGAGAACTTGTCAGCTGAGCTCCACCAGGTTCGCCGGCTGCTGAAAAGGAAAGAAGAACTGGGACTTATAATCAACAACACACAAGACTTCCTATCTGTGATGCGGCCCTACAAAGATGCATTCCTGGACTTGTATAAGCTGATATCCATATCTTTGACTCTTCCAGTAACATCAGTGAGCTGTGAGCGCAGTTTTTCTTGTTTGCGTCGTTTGAAGAACTACCTAAGAAACAGCAGCGGAGACAGTCGAACAAGTGACCTGGCACTTCTTGCTATCAATCCTTTAAGAACCAGGACCCTGGACAGTGACAGGATTATTGATGCTTTTGCCCTCAACCACAATAACTGTGACTCCACACCTTTGGATGAATGAGATCACTCGAGCAGCCAAATGTCAATGCAGTAAAGCCGAACGTAAATGGAAGAAGGACAAACTTCACGTTTCTTTTATCATGCTAAAATCATGTTACAAAGAGTACCAGCCATTGTTAAATAAAAAAAATATATATATATTTCTCCCAAATCATCGCCTCAAACAGCCACAATCCCCTCGTTCTTTTCAACACCATTAACTCCATTTTAACCGTGCCTCAGTCTGCCAACTGGGAGGCCTCTGCAGTTACATGGGATGACTTTGACAGTTTCTTAGTTAAATAGGTTGAGTCGATCAGGCCACTGATTCCTCACACCACAGCTGACCCCTCTGTCTTTGTCCCCTTCACATCAGTCTTTAACCAGTTTGATCCCATTTCCCTCTCATTTCTAAATGACGTCATTGGTCATATGAAACCCTCAGGTTCCCCTGCTGACCCCATCCCTGCATCGTTTTTTAAACAAGTCCTACCCTCAATTGGACCCTCTGTTCTTGACATTATAAACAGCAGTATGGCTACAGGTGTGGTTCCTGATGCTTTTAAACATGCAGTGGTAACTCCTTTAATAAATAAAACCTGGACTTGACCCTTCAACCTGCTCAAACTTCTGACCAATCTCAACACTTCCCTTTCTTTCTAAGATCCTGGAGAAAATAGTTTTCACTCAATTCAACGAGTTCTTGAGTGGAAATTCTATTCTTGAGATCTTTCAGTCTGGCTTTAAGAAACTACACAGCACCGAAACACCCTAACTAATTAGGGTCTGCAACAACATTCTTCTGGCAAATGACTCTGGTCAGTCTGTAGTCCTGGTACTCCTTGACCTTACCGCTGCATTTGATACTGTGGACCACAGTATCCTTTTATCCCGGCTAGAACACGGGGTTGGGATTACTGGTGCAGCGTTAGAATGGTTCCATTCATACCTGAGCGACAGGAGTTTCTGTGTTCATTTTGCTAACAATCTATCTACTTCAGTGCCTCTTTCCTGCAGGGTCCCGCAAGGCTCCATTCTTGGACCCCTTCTGTTTTCATTGTATATCCTCCCCTTAGGGTCTATCCTGAGGAAACATGGTCTTTCCTTTCATTGTTATGCTGACGACTCTCAGATTTATCTGCCATTAACACCCAACAGTTCCTCCTCCATTCGCCCTTTGTTAAAATGTCTTGATGACATCAAGACTTGGATAGCTGCGAACTTCTTGAGTTTTAATGATCAGAAGACTGAGGTCATTGTGTTTAACCCTAGCTCTGCCACTGTCACTGATCCTGCAAACCTGGACTCCCTTCAGCCATATCTAAAACAGTCTGTTACCTATCTCGGGATAGTTTTAAACTCGGACTTTAAGTTTAATAAGCAGATAAATTCTGTTCTTCAAAAAAGCTTCTTTCAGCTAAGGCAGATTGCTAAGCTCAAGTCCATGCTGTCCAGATCCGACCTAGAAAAATTAGTCCATGCATTTATTACAACCCGGCTGGACTACTGTAACTCGCTTTATGCTGGAGTAAGTCAGGTCTCTCTCTCACGTCTCCAGCTTGTCCAAATTGCTGCAGCTCGGCTACTAACAGGAACTCGCAGGTTTGAGCACTTTACTCCAATTCTCTTCACCGCCGGTGTCCACCACCTGGTTCGAGGGTTGCCACCGCGACAGGCACCGACAACCTTGCGGCCGCAGCTCCGGTAAGCCGCCTCGACAATAGAGGCACGGAGCATGGCCCACTCGGACTCGATGTCCCCTACCTCCCCCGGAACGTGTTCAAAGTTCTCCCGGAGGTGGGAGTTAAAGCTCCGTCTCACAGGAGACTGCCAGACGTTCCCAGCAAACCCTCACAATACGTTTGGGCCTGCCAGGTCTGACGGACATCTCCCCCACCATCAGAGCCAACTCACCACCACGTAGTGGTCAGTGGACAGCTCCACCCCTCTCTTCACCCGAGTGTCCAAGACATGCGGCCGCAGATCAGATGAGACAACAAAGTCGATCACTATAACTGCGGCCTAGGGTGTCCTGGTGCCGAGAGCACATATGGACACCCTTATGCTTGAACATGGCGTTTGTTATGAACAATCCATGACGAGCACAAAAGTCCAATAACAGAACACTACTCGGGTTCAGATCAGGGGGGCCATTCTTCCCAACCACACCCCTCCAGGTCTCACTGTCATTGCCCATGTGAGCATTGAAGTCCCCCAGCAGAACAAGGGAGAATCTGAATTACAACCATATATAACCAGTCTCTCTACGGCTGTGCTGAAAACTAGATGCTGCCGAGTGAGAAAGGGGAATTTGATATATACTCTGTCTGTCTTTTGGTCTGTTCGTCCAACCACATTTCCTTTTTGGTGAGTGGTTGCATCTAGGAGTAAGAAAGGTTCATTTAAAATATTGGGTTGACACATTAAAATCCAAGATGGCCACTTCCATATATTTATGTATACCAGCCACCCCTATCATTTAAAGAAACTATGCTTTCTATTTTTTATATTGATTGAAAGCAGTTTCCTCAAATGACTGGGGTGGCCACCATCGGCCACCCCCTGGCTCTGCCACTGCACTTTGTGGTGGGTAAAATTGCTCCCTCCACTTGCCAGGATTGACGCTCACTGCCTCAGACAAGAAAGAAAAACTTCCTCTGTTCTTCTCCATGGTGTAACTTCTGCCCACTTGAATATCTCACTCCACAAACGTTCAAGTTTACTTACATCCCCTGCTCACTTCCAGTCCAGAAAAACACTCATCTCAAAAACTACAAACATTCACTGTTCAAATCCTTCAATGTACTGTACTGCTTGTGGACCGTTTTTGGAGTATTGTATGTTTCTGTCAGATTTATTGTGGAATATAGAGATGCCCTCCCAGGTTTGTCTGGCCCTGTTGGAGCTGAAATGAGTTGGTTTCAGTGTGGACGAGTGCGAGAGACAAAAACGTGATGCAAGCTAAACTTTCAGCGTTGGAGTCAGAAGCTTACAGCCTGGCAGGACACACCTTCTCCCTCACCAGCGTCGATGACATAGTGCAGGTCAGACGCTGTTTTTCTGTGCTGCAGCCATGTTTTTGTCTTGACTGTAATTCCATGAGGGTATGATAATAAGTCATTCTGATTCATGCTCACACTGTAGGTGTTGTTCTTGGAGCTTCATTTACCTCCTAATGGTGATGCAGGTGGACCAAGGAGTAAGAAGACTCTGGGTTACACCAGGAGAGGTGGAGGCAGAGCACGCCTTGGGAAGCACTTCAGCACCACCAAGGTGTGGCCAAACAACCATTATACTAAATTGTTCTTTCTTCTTGCAAAACTTATAACGTTTTATAATTCAGAAAGGAAAGTTTATTCATACAGCATAATTATTGCACACCACCTCACTGGATGTATGTAGTGAACTAGGCCTGAAGGTCAAAACCTTGACCTAAGGACCATATGGGACAGAAACTGTCATTTCATTGATTTGAATCCAGAAATACAGGTTGACCCATCTTGAGACTTTCTTTCTTGAAAATTCAAGTGAAAGAACACTCTCTTTTCTATTATCATTACTATTTTACAAATGTTTGATAATCAAAGTGTTTTAGTTCAAACCATTTTAGATGTTGTAGTGAACTAATCATTTTTTATTAACTGTGAAACAGTAATAATGATTTTTAATCCTCATGCAAAGTTAGAATTCATGTTAAGGTCTGTTACAGAGTAATTATGCATTTTCTGATTTTCTGTCTTTGAATGAGCAGGGTAAGTTGGTCCAAGGTTGGACTCAAACGCAGACAAGTGTTGGAACGAACTGTCTTGTTTTTACATCCTCTCAGACGTAAATAGAGAAGCTGGCACCTGTTGGCACCTGTTTTCTGCCAACTCGTCCAAACATTTCTCTCCCTGTCTCTAAAAACATTTTCAATCTGTTCCATAACATTCTTGCTGTTTTTCTGACTCCTAGTGACCTCTTACGTCACAAAACACACCCCTGTCTGGTCGATATTGACCAATCAGAAACTCCCAAATGAACCGGAAATAGAGCTCTTTAAAATGTCGGTACTTCCTAGTTCAAACCAGTGTCGAGAGTCGTGTGGAGTTTCCAGTCGGGTCGAGAGTCGAGTTTGGAGTCGTTGCAGCTCCCGTGCTGGGAAACAGGAAGATCCTGACATGACTACAGAGCTCTTCCGAGTCTTATGGGATTATAACATCTTCCACCTCTGGGTGGAACTCTGACGGACTCCACTCATGGGAAGTCCACTCGTGAGGTGAACCTGTGTCGGACGGAATACCGTCACTACTTCGGACGATTCACAGCTGTTCCTACGGAGACGCTGAAAGGGTGCGTTGAATGGACTTTCATACCAGTGGAGACATCTCCAGGTAAAAAGTTGATTTATACCACCTAAGTGTACTGGGGGAAGAAGCTGAGAAAAACCCGGAGAGTGCCGTTCTGAATGCTGACACAAACAAACCCCCTCACCCATCTTTTTCTCCCTCTAAACTTCATCTTTCCATCTTTAAAATTCTTCTATCAGGTAGAAATCATTCCAGATATTTTAGAAATGTCTGTGTAAAGTTCTCATCCACCGCCGTGTGGTCAATCAAAATTGTACAGCTTGCTAAAATTAGCCATGTTGTTATTTTCCATATTTTGCCAATTAATGTAAATGTGTGATGTGTTAAACTTTGATTCTGTTAATAAATGACCCACTGTCGTTTGGTGAGTCAAAGATAATTAACGTCTCATGTTACATTTCTAAATTCAATGCACATTATATACGGTCCAGAAAAATGAAAGAATCCGTTTAATTTATGAATATATCTCATGCATATGCTCATCTACATGTACGTCTACAACTGAATAACTTTTGTAGTCAACCAAATTCAAAATGGCCTCTAGCAAACACAAAAATGGCTGTAAATCAGTAAATTGTACAGATATTAAGCTAAAATATGATGTGGTTATAGCTGAGAGTCAACCCCATCACGCAATTTGACATAAAAACGTGCAAAATCTTTGCTTAACACTTGTTCGTGCAAGGAGCAGGCGGTATGCATTTCTTCAAAGAATGCTTGTTTATTCAGGTGAGTCATAGTCCAATATGTAAAACTATAATATAAAAGTATAAAAGTAAGTAGGTTGAATGAATGATTGAATCTGTGATGATTTAGATTATATGCATATATTAGCAGTACATAGAGAAGATGTTTCATAGTGTTTTGAGTATCTCACAACTTCAAACTAAAAATCTCAGCAACTTCTAAGACAGGGGTGCCCAACCTTTTTTGAACCAAGAGCTACTTTTGAAGTCGGCAATTTGCCGAGAGCTACTCGTCCAGTCTCATTATCAACAAACATAATTTTTCATCAATCCCTACTCCTCACTTCTTTAAAGTAAATAAAACAGAACGTGATGTGTCTATAGGAGACAACTTTTTATGCAAGCTGTATAAAATAAATGTGTCTCTACCTTAGTGGGACTTCTGACACTGAGAGGAGGAGGCCAGGGTCTCATAAGATGGGCAGTATGAGGTGGTTGCGAGGCGCAGGCAGGTCTCCAGATGATCATCATTCATTGTGGATCTGTTTTTGGACTTGATGATTTTCATGTGTGAAAAAGCAGACTCACACAGGTAGGTAGATCCAAAAAGTGCTGTTAAGTTCAAAGCACATCTTCGGATGTTAGGATACTTTTCTTCTGACAGCAGACTCCAGAACTCTCCATCCACGCCAGGTGATGCTCTGGATTTGATCCCAACGTCATTTTGCAGAGTCAACACCTCATTTTCAACACCAGAGCTGTGCAGCTGAAACACGGACACCAATTTGGACACAATGTCATCCACATCAACATTTCCAAAAGGATAACACATGTAGCTGGTAACAGGCTCGATGGAGGAAAAGTCAGTAAATCGTCTCTCAAATTCTGCTGAGATGCTCTGAACCTGCTTAGAATAGTGTGCACTGTCCAGTTGTGGGACCTCTTTCCCTTGGCGCTGTAGCTCTGCCTCCATGTGTGGGAAGTTTCGCAGGTCCCTGCGTTGCAGCCGACTTGTGAGCAGTTGCAGCCTGCTTTTTAAGGTGTTCACAGAACTGATCATGTGGATTATGTTTTTGTCCTTTCCCTGAAGCTCCAAATTCAGTTCATTGAGCAGGCTGGTGAGATCTGTGAGGAAGGATAAATCCAAAAGCCACTGGGTGTCCTCTAGTTTTGAATGTTCACCATGATCTGACAGCTTCAGAAAATCCCTGATCTCAGGCAACAGCTCACTGAATCTGTCCAGAAATTTACCTCTGCTTAGCCACCTGACGTCCATGTGCAGCAGCAGGTCTGTGTGGTCTGCTCCTGCCTCCTCCAAGTGAGCCCGGAACAACCTCCTCTGCAGACTCCTGACCCTTATAGAGCACACAGTTTTCATGGCAACATCCATCACTTCCTTCATGTTTAAAATCTTCCCACACAGGGCCTGTTGGTGGATGATGCAGTGATAGTGCAAAATGTCTGGGAAAGCATCATTCTGCTTGCAGAGTGCAACAAATCCACTGGTGTGACCAGTCATTGCTGGAGCGCCATCAGTTGTTATAGAAATTAGTTTAAAGAGGGGCAAGTTGCTTTTATTAACAAACTCCATAAACGCATTAAAAATATCTTCTCCTCTTGTGTGTCCCTTCAAAGGCAAGATGGTGAGCAGCTCCTCTTTTGCACTCATGTCTGCAAAGGCCATTCTGATAAAAACACAGCTGGGCTACATCCACCATGTCTGTCGACTCATCAAACTGAAAAGAGAAACACTCACATTGTTCCACGTCCTTTTTTAGCTGCTCCTCCACATCCACAGCCATTCCCTCACATCGCCGTGTCACTGTTTGTCTGGACAACTGCACGTCTTTAATAGCAGCTACGATCTCACTTTTATTTTTAAAATCATGAAAAAGCGCATCTGCAGCCTCAATAAACGCTTCTTTCATAACTTGTCCATCGCTGAAAGACTTCTTATGTTGAGCCAGGATGCGGCTAACACGGTAGGAAGCTATCGTAGCAGCTTTACCTTTTGTGCTGGGCCGAGTGAAGACTGATTGCTGGGCTGCAAGCTTGTTTTTTAGCTCCCGCACTTTCTGAGTCCGTAAAGAACTTTTAAGAGGGAAATCTGTCTCAAACCGTTTGTGCATCGTCTTGAAATGCCACTCCAAGTTACACTTTTTGGGTAAGGCAACGCTCGAATTACAGATGAGGCAAATAGACTTCGAATTAGAATAAACAAAAAAATACTCCTCCTCCCACTCTGTGTGAAAATAATAAGTTTTCGTTTGCTTGTTCGCTAGTTTTCCATCCATGTTTTCTGCGCACCGACATTACTCCACTACTGAGCCTAAAGTCTCGTGAGAGCACTGTGTCACCGCACCCAAAACTCGCGAGACTATGTCTGTGAGAATACAAGTCAAGACTGGTTGGGCACACCTGTTCTAAGATCTGAGAGGTTTATGTTCCACCTCAGGATGTTCTGGAGAAACTCCGCCCCCTGCACCCTTTGCCAGGTGTGAATCTAGAGTGGAGGCGGATCACTAACGCCCTGACTAAGGTGGTCTTCCCCCTGCAGAGGGTGAAACAGCATCATCCTACACTAAAGATGGACAGATTATATCCAGTCGCCCAGACCCACAGCCACCGGTAAAACACACAGAAAGATCTCGGACTGTGTAGATGTTTTGTGAAATGCTGTTTTGTTTGAAGTACATAAACAAGAATGGATGTAGCCCATTATGTCCTGTTTTTTATATTTTCAGGTAGAGTGAGCTTTACTGAACCAAACATACAGAATGTCCCCAAAGATTTTGAGGTTTACATGCCCACAGTGATAAGTGAAAGCCCACCTTCACAAAATGCCTTCCAGGTGACTCGTAAATCAAGGTAGGTACCTGTCAGTACAAATATTTCTGCTTTTAAAGCCTTTGTTGTTTTTTTACTTTTTATTCTTCATTTTTCAAACATATTTGGGCATATAACAGAAAGGTAAACAAACAAACAAATAAGTAGAAAAGAATAAAAAAAACCTAGAAACAAGTAAACCTGAGGGAGTTTCACAGGTACATATCATTTCTTACAAAACATTGTCGTCTGTCACAGAGTGTGAACAATCGTTCCATTTTTTCCAGTATTTTTCCAGTATTTTTCCCCCTGTGCTGTTGTACACGGAGAGAATAAGTCATAAGTTCCATTGATCTTATATGCTCGATAATTTGTATCACTAGAGTTGTTGTGGGAGTTTCTCTTCTGAGCCAGCACTTTGTGATGTCTTTCTTCGCAGCAACAAGCATAATCCTGAATATATACAAGTCACTTTGGTGTAGTCCCCTGGGCGGTACACTAAGAAACAGTGTAGGGAAAGACACATCCACTCTAATATCTAGCACAGAGTAGATTAAGTTTTTCATCTTTAACCAAAAGTCAGTTATACCTGGACATGACCAGAATATATGAGCATGATCTGCCTGAATAGATCCACACTCCCTCCAGCAGGAGGGCTGCACAGCCGTTATCTTTGATTTCTGTACAGGTGTAATAAAGAAACGGATCAAGCTTTTCCAACAGAAATCTTTCCAAATGAGTGAGTTAGTAGTGCAGTTTTGAGATTTCCACCCCTCCAACCACAAGTCTTGATATTTCTGTTTTTACATCTTTATCCCATTGTTTTTTCACATGAAGGTGAGTTTTATTATCAGTTGAGATTAAGATTTTGTAAAATTTATCTACAATTTTTTTTTTGTACTACCACTTTTTTAAGTATCCACAAATATCTGAACTCGGTTAGAGGGGTTTTCAGTCAGTGCATTCTGTATTTCCTTCACAAAGTAGTGACGGAGCTGGAGATATCTAAAAAAAAAATCATTTTTCCCTAGACCAAATTTGAGTGAGAGGTTTTGAAAACTCTCCATCTGGCCTTTAGAAGTAATATTTCTGATTGTTGTTATGCCCAGTTGCAACCACTGTTTAAATCTATGGTCATGAATTGCTGGTTGAAAGTGTGGGTCGCACACTGGCCAGCCCAGGATCCCAGTTTGTCTATGAAGCTGAAACATCTCTACGATTTGTAACAACTTTCTGATGGATGTCCATAAACAGAAGTTCCCATGCTGAAGAAGTGATTTTGCACAGTGTACACAACCCAGTACTGAGTGCAGTGGCAGTTCAGTAAGAGAGAGTTCTAGTCCTTTCCATTTAGCCTCATAGGATTCATCACACCAAAGAGCAAGCGGTCTTAATTGAGCTGCAAAGTAATATCTGAGACATGGCAAAGCCAAGCCACCCCTGTCCTTTGGCAACTGAAGGATTGTATATTTTATTTGTGGTTTTTTTTAGTTCCACTCAAACGTGGATATGCATTTGTCCCATTCCC